AGTTAAGGCTTACTACACCATAGGCAGAAGCTCATCTCTGTTATCTTACTTTCATTGTCACATATAGAGGGCATGACTCTTCATTCACCATCACATTTTTTTCTCTTCCCTCCATTAAAATGCATTCTTTTTTCCCAGTAACCATATAAATTACAGCTCAGGATGGAGATGTTGTCCCTCTAAAATATTTGAGGTCTGATTTATTGTTGACTTTGAAAAATACAGATCAAAACAAAAATGAGATTGAAAATATAATTAACTCCATTACAGTTCACTCAAATGGAAACAGCCTTGTCACCTGTTCTTATTTATGACAGCACCAAACAGCTCTATTCCCTTGCCAGTTATTGCTGTAAGACAGTATTGGTTCTGAGGCACAAACTCAAAGTGAAATAAAAACAACCTGCCAGAATTAATGTCACTAGATCATTTTACAGCTACATGGCTTGTACATAATTGCCAGAAACCATTTTACATTAGAGCCTCAGTCTTAAAGATGTACAAGAATTCAGTTGGTTCCACAGCTTCTTTAGGCACTAGGGCATCCACAATGTAAAGTCCACATTTTCATCTTGCAAGACAGTTGTTGTTACATGAACAGCATGAGGACATGTGTTGTCCTGCTGGAATGTTGTCAAGTTAGTATGAGCCTACAGAAAATGAGGGCCCAGTACTTGATCAATATATCCCTGTGTGGTCAGGTTCAATCAATCACTACTAGTGCAATCCAGTAGCAGCTACACTCCTACCCAGACCATCATATTTGAACCATCCCATGTACTGGTCTGTTGTACAGAACAGTTAGCGAAACCTCAATTCATCGGACTCCCAATTGGATCCACCAGTTAAAGGCACCCAAAATGTAGTTTGAGGTTTAAAATCATATGTTCCAGCCTGGGTCACGTCACTAAAAGACTACGACCAGAATTCCTCAAGCGGTAGCGCACAATTGACGCTACTGGGCAGGGTGGGACTAATCATCCTGTGTTCTCTCAGCTTCCAGCTTCACAGTGACTCCTGCAGCCCCCAGGGCACTTTGCTTGCATGCAGTGTTGTTAATGAGCTACAGTATGCACTGAACCTTCAATATTGAGAAGTGTTGATGCATGGGTCAGTGGTAAGTGGTTCATAGGGGTCTGCCTACACTTCCTCAGTTTCCTTTGTGTGTGTTGATAGGAGCACATCTGAGAGCTTCAACATGGAAAACACACAACTGTCTAATCCATATTGGGTGAGTATAACAAAAACAAAAATGATTGGTGATTCTATCCATTATTTTGATTCACCACTAAAGAGGGTTGATGTCTACTGCCGGTGAGTCCAACATAATTGACTCCCATATTTAAGTGACATGAAGGCATTCTAATCTTGGTAATCAGAGCATACTGATTCCTTTACAGTATGAATTGTTCTTTCTTGATTTTCACCAGGCTACACTTTCAACAACTTAAAACACCTCATTGCCTCTCTCACTCCTAAATCATTTAGGCGATTAAGCACTTTATGCAACAAAGTTGCTTGAATGTATTACAGTTAGTCATAAATGATTGATTAATCACAATGACACTAAAAACATTTAATTAATATCTAAAACCTGTATACTTTATTTTCTAGTACCCTACATTCATAAATAAAGTAATAAGTTTATTTTTGTACTCAATTCATTAAAGAAGATAATTGATGTGGTGTTACTTCATGCGTTCAGTGTATAAAACGTTCACAGATGACTCCTGAAGGTTTAATATGGCTCTAAAAGCACAAACCCCTGAAATGTTTTAGAAAAAATGGCCTTTGTGTTCACATGTTTATCCAAGTGTTGATGAGTGTTCCACTGTAACCTGCTGCTTATTTTTTTACATTACTGGTGCAGATGTGACTTAAAAAAGCTTGTTAGTATATGGTAGTTCAAGTGGAAAATCAGATTGTTAGATTATTTTAATTATTTAATGATTGCTTTAGGAGATGTATTTACAGACTTTGAAACTGGAGTATAGCCGTATTCTAGCACACAACAGTATTTTTCTAAGTGCAGCTTTTAGTTTTGTCAAATTTCAACAACAACTGTGTTGCTGGTTCTCTATTTCTTCTGTTCTTTTCAAATTCTCATTTATTAAAGAAGTACTAATTTTACATGTTTATAATGTATACTACATTAAAACTAGTGGTAAGAGGTAGCTGGGCTTTTGTTTATTCAAACTACTTTACTGTTACCCAGGGATTATTCTCGTAAAACATTTAAATGTTTTGAAATAAAGTAAATTCACAAAATTTGTTTGGTGTTGGAATATGAACAGTATATTTTCTGTTCTATGCAAAACGGTCATAAAGACAAGCTAAGCTGAGTAATGGATAACTTTATAACTTATAGTATATGCTCAGTATAAGAATGTGAATGTTTTCAATAACCTGTAAATATTTACATATTCACGCTATATTTAAATATTTAAATTAAAACACTGTAGTCTTCCTCAAACAATTATTCTCAAATGGTTAATTAAAAATGAAGGAAGCCAGCATAAAATTAATAAAATGTTTAATTCAGTGCAGTATTTTAGATCTGTATTATTAATATTCCCACAGTTTCATAATTTAGTGTTCATGATGTCATTTTCACATCATCCTAATGACACAATATTATGCCTAAGAATGTAATTTAATAGGACTTCTTGTCCAATATGGGATGTTACATTAAAACCAATATACAGTTAAATATAATACAGATAAAATAAAATATAATAATTCAGAGAACCTGAGCTCATTGAGAAAGAGAGAGAGATGTGTCATATTGTACTTGGTAAATGTGGTAGATGCTTTATAAGCATTTTACTTTTGACTAGTTTGCTATTCATGAATTAAAATTGTAATATTAATATTGTGAGGGTCTTTAAAAAAATGACAGTTATGTTTCATAAATAAAGAATGTGACTGTGTGGTTTGCAGTACTTATTTACATACAGTAGTTCCCTTGTTTGGGAACACATGCATTCCAGCAATTCAAACTTCTTGATAATATTTTGAGAGAAGCTTTCATATCCTTGTGGACCTCACGATCATTGACAATCTTGAATCCTTGAGAACAACTTTCAGTATTGAAAGAAGTAAAAATTAGGTGGGAGAATATCTGAAGTGGACAGAGCTTGAGGTAGAGGTTAAATGAAAAATAGCTGGTGATTAGTCTGTTTGACAGAATGTCTAGGGATGTGCAGTAATAGTTTCTCTCTAAGGAAGATAAATAGACAAATAACATCTGATGTGTTGCTTGACATATTAAAATATATTCATCCAAATCAATGGTTTGTTATAATCTTTTACTATTTTTTAGTTAAGATGACCCATACCTCCTACTGAATTTTCATATGTAAACCATATATAATCTATTCTTGACTTCTAATAGCATGAAGTTGAATTTGCTTTTGAAACCAAAACTGGAAATCTGCCATCAGGATAGATAAGTATGTAAAGCATAATGCTGTACCTACTATCAGGATTTATAAATATTAAGGTTATCAAATATTGTTAAAGTCTCTATGGTTACATGTTGGGCATCTAGAGTTTACAGATTATGGAGCAGTGTGTGTCTGAGAATAACTGTAGCATCCTTCTGTGTTTTGAATTTAATAGAGTGGTCACAAGTGGTGATTTAATTTACCACTGCCATTATCTCTCCAGTGATAAGCACCCCAAACTAACACTAACTTATGCTGGTCAATACTTTCACAGAGAGCAGAAAGCAGCAAAGCAATGAAGGCAGTGCATGAATGCACAAAACCCCCTTGTATCATTCCCAACTGGCATGGTGAAAACCTAATGTTCTCTTACAAGGACAGAATGCACTCAATGGGTAAAGTGTATTGTCACAGAGACCTATACTAAATTAACCCTATGGGATCCAGCGATTTTTATGCCAGGTCTCATAAACTTCTCTTGAGATCTGTTTGAACGGGTTTGGCCTATGCTATTTTAGTCAGATGATGTGACCTTCATTCTTTAAATTATCTCAGATTGCGTCAAAGTCCTTGTAATACATAGTTTTACTTATCTTGTGATTGGCATTGTAAGTCTTCTGAGAGCTTTTGTGGTTCAGTTCACACCTTAATTCCTAGTTTTTCTTCTCCTTTCTATGTGTGATAACTTCTAACTTGATGTGTACTTCCCATTTTTGTGACTTGTCTTCTATAAGTCTTGTTCTCCTGGATCCTTTGTCTTTGTGATTTTTTTGCAATACTAAATGTAAGAATCAATTTTGTTAATTGTTAAACTATTAAAAACATAAACTTTCCAACTCCTCACTTAGAAGTTGGATCTCAATGGTGAGGCCCCCAGCCTTTGAGTCTTCGTCAACAATCCCATTGGCTTTAAGAATTTAAATCTTAGTACAGAGATAAAAGCCTCAAAAAACTCCTTTACAATTTTGGGAGCCCAAGGCTGTCCGTCAACAGATATATGGTAATAGTAACCTTGATCTCCTGCTGTTGGACCTAAATACCTCCCACTTCTGCTCTATTATCAGGTCTCATCTATGGAGTTAAAAAATTGATATTTTCATTAACCAAACCTTCAGTGGCTTAGAAGCAGCTTAAGATTTAAAGACTTGATTATTTACAAGTCACGGGAAATACATTTCTTTAAATATTTTGAACCACAATGAAAATAAATATGTGGAAACTAAAAAAAGTGTATGAAATTGTAAGATGCAACAGTGAATACGACAAAAAGTCAATTTGAAATCCCTATTAGAACTTAAAAAGTTAACTCGTATACTTCAAATGGGCTATATAACCAGAGGTGTTAGCATGTCAAGAAACATGTTTTGTCCCATATTTTGGGACAGTTTTCAATACAAAGCCATGTTTTCTTCTTTGTTAATATCTTGTTTGAAAAAGAAATGTATTATTCAATTTTATCATTATTTTATCAAAGCATGCACACAAGGACTCTGTTATTTTCACAATCTAATCTTATGATGTTGGCATGGAAATTCATCCAGAGTAGAACCTTACCTTATTTAGCATTTCCCTGAAAACTGTGCCATGCCCACATTTTTATTTGCTTCACTGTTCCTCTTGTCTGTCTTTCCCCATAATGTAGCCCAAGCGCTGTAATCCTTGAAACATAAAGATGGCTATTAATTGAATCACCTAATTTTGTTCCTGCTTCAGAAAAGGCCACCAGCTAGTTCAGGCGTGGGGATAAGCTAGGATGACATTTCTATCCCAAGATGCCAGCGGCAGACTTTGATACATCGTTTTCTTTCTGAAGGTTAAACTTAGATAACCTGCCTTTGGCATTTAATTAGCTACTTGTTAAATACTCTTTTGGTAATAAAATGATTAAAAATTTTATTGCTCCTCAAATGAGGCTCTTTTTAAATGGATTTAATGACTTTGTTAAGGTTCTGTACTTTGCAGACCGGATCTGCAGTTATACCAGTGTGTAAAATGGTAATGGTAATGATATGCTTTACAGCTTGCAAAACCGCAATGATTTTTATTCAAATGACTTTGGTAATCTTGATGTATAAATTAGAAATACATTTTTTTTCTTAGTTTAATGTTTAAAGCTGTAGGATTCAATTTCTTTGCTTATTTTATGCAAGCCACACTGATTTTAAATTACATTTGCATTGCTTTGGAGCTGATCATTTTACTTCTAAGACTAGTCCAATGTATTTTAGATGCTAATGTGAATCTAAAGAAAAGACACAGATAAAAAAAATACAATGATGATACACAAAATACATTGAGTTTGTCTTTGAGACAAATGTTGACTGTTCAGTGACAAGGTGTTTTATGTTGATATCAAATATCTCAAGAGGTAAGGTGAGTTCAGGACAGGTTTGAAACAACATTGGCTTAGGGCAATAATGACACACTTAACACAAAGCAGTCCTACAGGCTTTGTGAGCACCATCTGTTTTTTCTCAATGTTTGGATGAGGTTCTTGCTATCCACTTGAGTTTCTACACCTAGTGGTCAGGACTAATAAGCATCCTATCATCTGATTTGTTCGGTGTCTGCTGTACGTGGTGCACACCCCAATAATCAGAAAAGAACTGCCAACTATTTTTTAAAAATTAAAGTATAGAGAAATGGATTAGAAGGAAAGAAAAATATTGTAACAGAATTGTTCTTTAATTTACCATAGACATACTGATTGATTTCACCATTTAATCATTAATTCGATACTCCAGATCTGTGAATCAACATTTGCACTGAGTACAAGCTTTATTTATTTATAAGTAACTATGATGCACAGCTGAATTCTTTGTTCAACAGGTCTGTGTGTGAAGAATGGTGATGGGACTGACACCTTTGAAGGCAACATCTTAGGAGACATGTTAAAAGTGTGTTTGCCACACAACATAAAAGGTTAAAAATAGTTACTGAAACAATTCTGCACAGCAAAACAGCAAAGCAAAAAA